ATCAGGTGATGTGCAAGGCCTTCCCGCAAACTTTGACGAATGCTGCTAGGGATTGGTTCTCAACCTTAGAGTCCAACTCCATAGCCTTATTCTCGGATTTGGCGGACAAGTTCTCCGCTTTCTTCGCAAGCAGCAAACGCATCAGGAAGACAGCGGTTTCCCTCATGCAACTTAGACAGGGGCAAAATGAGACCCTACGTGACTTCATGACCAGGTTCAACAAGGAAAGACTTCAGATTCCCAACCTACACATAACTGCAGCAGTTTCTGCCCTCACATATGCCATAAAGTGCGAAGCTTTCAAGATGTCCTTATCCAAAACTCCGCCGAAGACAGTCACCGAGCTTCTTACCCGAGCTGAGAAGTACATAAATATGGAGGAAACGCTGAACCCGAGAAAGGTTTGACCATCCTATGACAGGGTCGAGCATAAGAGACAGTATGACCCGAACCCCCGTGAAGAACAACAACGGAAAAAACAGAGGCAGGAGGGTGAACAACAACGAAAAAAACAGAGGCAGGAGGTTCCCCCGACCCCGTTCACACGTTTAAATACGTCAAAAACCCAATATATTGATGGAGATCAAGGATATGAAGGAATTGAAGTGGCCTGTCAGAATGAGGTCACCACCCGAATCCAGGGACATGAACAAGTACTGTGATTTCCATCGGGATCATGGGCATACCACGGAGAACTGTAAGGCCCTGCAACGGGAGATTGAAGCCCTTATTAAAAGAGGACTCTTGAGCTCCTACGTCGGTAATGACAAACGCCCGAGGAATGATCGTGGCAGGGAAAAAGACCCTGAGGCGAAAAAGGATGGTCAACCTACTGCTGGAACCATCAATATCATCATTGGAGGTATTGCCTCGGGAGGAGACTCCAACAGTGGAAGAAAACAATATGCCCGACGATATGCCCTGGCCTCCGGGATGCCTCAGGGAAAGCTGGAGGATATTACTTTTGGGACCGAAGACTTAGAAGGCGTATCATTCCCACATGATGATGCCTTGGTAATCTCAGCAATTTTGGCCAATTTTGAAGTAAAGAGGATCTTGGTTAATAACGGGAGTGCGGCCAATATACTTGCCCAAGAAGCTTTTGCCAAAATGGGAATCTCATCTCACCAACTCAAAGAGGTTAAAACTCCTCTTTAGAGGTTTGGGGGATGAGTCATCACTCCAGAGGGTATCGTCGAGCTTCCACTAACTTTGGGTTCTGGCCAGAAGCAGGTTACGGAGATGACATCTTTTCAAGTGGTACGTGTCTCAATGGCCTATAACGCAATTCTGGGAAGACCACTCCTGAACAAGATTAAAGCCATTGTGTCCACCTTCCACCTAGCCATGAAGTTTCCAACAAGTAATGGCGTTGGGGTTGTC